ACATTAATTTCATGTAGCCAACCAGCAACATGGATAATGTAGTAGTCTGAACAACATACGAATGAAGCATAATCTCTAAATTGTGAAAGGTCATGCTGAAGCAAAATGATACTCGCAAAGTTTTCATTGTGGTAAAAAACTGCAGCAACAAGTGAAGATTAGTACCTCAACCATGAAAAGAAATGTCAATTTCCACTAAAGGAATATATATTATATAACTTGTATAATTTGTATATTTAGGGAGGAAACACAAAATTATTCCACTCAAAATCAAGTTATTTATACTCCATATGTTTTAAACACAACACTTGCAGAAACTTCAGGATAGCTAAATTCATTAACATTTAATAGACATGTTAAAAGAGAACAACCAATCGAAACTCAAAGGCTTACACATCTTTTCCAGCGTTACACACCACCTAGAAAATCCATGACAATCAATCATTTTCATTAACCTATTTAATCCTTCTACACATTCTCTTACAGCAGCAAGGAGATGGATATAGTCTTCAAGGTTGGCCTTGTTGGTTATTGCATTAAAATAAATATCATGTCATTCTTTATCAGACATACAACAAATGTTTATTCCCTTTCAAAAGAACTTTGAGCTGATAATTGTCTTATTTTAAACTTAGCTTCTTTTTCTGTTAGACGAATACCCACTTTTTAAACATGGGATCACCAATTTAGCATTTATTAAGAGAAGTTATTAACATGTAGATAAATATGATATATAAGGATATATACTAGAAAAGCGTTTATTTGTTCTAATGGCATAAATCATTTGCAGTAGTTATCAAAGAATTAAATAACAAATTTGTTAAAGCATCCTGGTGCAGGGATGAACTGACATGGCATCTTGGTGTAATGTCCAAAATAATCATAAGAAAATTTACCAGCATGCAAAGTTCAATGTACTGTTGTAAAAGATGTTCATTAACACTAAACGAGTTTGATAAACAAGAAAAGTCTTTTATATGTGTATTGAGACTTGGAAGGAAGAATTAGCACATCGTAGAGACACGGTTGCATTGCAAGGGAAGCAATTAAGGATTAATTGAGATCATACTGTTGTATATACTATATAGCAGAATGAAGCCACAGTAGGTAGACAGATTTGGTGCTCTATTCAAATTTCTCAAAATAAAGAAAACCTTAGAACCTACAATGGAAATTGTGGGAGTTATTTTCTGGAGGCAAAAATGGCATTTTGTTATCTTCAATAAATCCAAAAGTCTGGCACCTAACAACAACGAGGTTTTGTGATTATGAACTGCAGGTATTGTGTGATAAAATAGGTACCTTATCTGATAATTTTGTTTATTGACATTTTCTCTTGATAACATGTCCTATTGAGAAAGAAGAAACAATGAAATCACAAAAAATTATTCCACTGTCTACAGTTCAGCTGGAAACATATTAGATACAGTGAGAATACCAAAATTATGATGAATTTCTCTACTTCAACTATGGAAACAAGCATTTGCTGATTATGGAGTAAGTTAGACATGAAAGAGTTCATGTAAAGAAAGATAAGTCAACTAAACCAAGATGAAATTGCTACTGAATCCATCAGTTCAAGGTTCCAGTGGCTCTCACCTGAAACACTGCGAAGCCTACAGAAGCATAGCGTGTATACTGAAGAACTTTCTTCCTTCCTGCTTCTCCTTCTCTTCTCTGGAGATCTTGTAGCTTTGGATAGATTTGTGTAAGAAGCTGAAAGACAATCTGTGCATTGATAAATGGAACAATACCTAGGGAGCAGACACCCAGTCTACCAATTCCACCACCAGAGAAGGAGTCCAAGGTGCTCAATAGACTGTTCTGATCCAAATTACCAACAAAAGCTTCTCGATTCACTCCACCTAGAGGTACATATACTCCAAGCCGAGATAAAGTTAAATATCCTAAAAGCTTTAGGAATTTCCCTGGAAGAGGGCCCTTAAAGAAGTCACCAATGTCAATAGAACTATCCTCAATTGCAGCTGGAGATATAAAAATAAGCAATTAGGTAAAGCAGAATTCTAAATTCACATGCTTAGAATTTAGAAGTTCAAGACCAGTGTCTGATAAAATATTGCAACAAAAGAGTGTTTCGGAACAACTTGCTCAAATATCTATAACTGTTTTAGTATTTCCTTTTGCTCATTGACCATGTTCTTCTACATCCTGGAAGAACATCTATTTGGAAGAGAAAGACAGATAAAGGTTAAAAATGTTGACATAGGTTCTTTACCATTCTTCTTTCAGTCATTAGCACACTACAAATATCACAAAATCTGGATATATTTCTACAGGCAAAGGGTGTCTACGTAGAAATCAGAGATAAAATAACCCAAAAGGCTATATGCTGAGCTGAACTATACACGAGTTAAATCTGTTGCAACAGTCTAGAGTTAGTTACTTGTTCAACTGAAGAAAACAAAGCATTAAGTGTCTCTCTTTATAATCCAGTCAAGTACATCATCATTTTTTTTTTACTTTTAGTATAAAATAAACAATAGCTATGATAGAAAATTACTAATTAAGAAAAAAATAACCTGCCACTCCTCGTTTTGAGGAAGATTTATCCTTCTTTGAACTTGCTGTACTTTCAAATGTTTGGGAAAAGAAATCAAGAACACTTTCCCACAAAGCACCAAGGCCCAAAGAGCTCTCCTTGTTCAAACCCAACGGATCAAAGACAGAGAAATCAGATGGTTGAATGCACCTGAAAAGAGCTCTGATTAGCTGGATAGAACAAAGCTACAAAGACCCAACAAAATAAATCAGATATATTAGGTTCCAATTGGCTGCAAAGTTCCAACCCAGTGCACAAGTAGACGCTTGAATTAACATGATATAACTATCATCATTAAAACAACAACAACAACAACAGCAAATGAGAGCTTGCTTGACTGCTTATCTAAAAAAACTTCACAGTAAAAAAAAACAGAAGTGATTTCTGATTATGTATTACCAAGGTATAAGGAGGTTCAGTGAGGTTGCACCCTCACACGTTTTGCCTGAGAGACTATATCTATACGTCAAGCTTTGGCACTTAGGTGAAAAGGAGCAACCTACCATGAGGACAAAGCTCACACGCTACACTAATTCTGAACCAAAATATGGACAAATCACCATATCACAACACAAGTAGAACAGGACCTTATATGGCTTGGACCATGGCAAGCCCAGCTGTTGGTACAAGCTAAATGGTACTCTAGAATAGAACTGCATATCCTCAAGCAAAAAAGAAAACTGAGACATTCATGCACAACGTTTCCTTTCAAGGCAAATAATAGCAACAAAAAGCAAGTGGCTTTTCTTGCATGGTACAAAGAATATATTTGCCTTTTTAAGGCATGTTTGAAGGCCTTCATCTAATATCCTCGGTTAGCCATAACCCTCTCACTATTTGAGTTCATGGAGGAGAAGAATGTGAAAAGTTGGAGGCATTTGGATCATATCCAATTAGAATATTTGCGTGCAAACCATTCAAATATGAATTTGTTCCAAGATGATTTGATCCATCACATTGCTCTATGGACAAAAATAAAAATATCCCAATTATATTGTCACTACTTATATTTGCGTTTTATTATCAAATTGGACCTTACCAGCAAAGGATTGCTAAAGTTTATTGGAGGTTTTAGGTGCATCCTTGCTTGCAATTCCTGAGAGGCTGAGATATCCTCATTGGTTAGAAACATTGATAAAAAGGTACAAGAAAGGTTAACAAATTGAAGACTAATTCAAGATCATTATTATTCTTCTCCCAATACACAGAGATTATACGACAAGAAATTGAAGACTAATTCAAGATCACTCCAATGCAACATAAGTTAAATTTGTAGATTATTAAACAGGAACCTTCAAGAAACCCAGAATAATGTGGATGGTATTTTGCAGCTAGAGGTGGATGTATGGGTACAAAAAGTACCACATCTGATTTCAGTGACGCTTACAAGATTTTGGGGCAAAATCTCATGCATATAATTTGATGTTTCAGAAGCGAATTGAACATCAAGAACTTTCTATCAACAAACAAAATCAAAAGGAAAATATAAGTATGAGTAAAATGGACAAATTCATCAAGCAACACATCAGAACGGAAACAAGACGGCAACTTTTTCGAACTTCCACGAAAACCAAGTTCCAGGACTGCAGCTTTATCAAACTTCCATGCAAAGCTAAGAAAATATAGCCATCAGATGCTTCGATAATCATCTAAATTCGACCTCAAACAACTGGACGAAGAAATAGCGGCGCAAAATCAGAGCTTCAACAATCAAGCAAAGAATCCGCAATGAAAACGAATTGGGTCACCTGGAGTCGTCGCTGAAGTTCAAACGGAGAGTGTCCCAGGGAACGCTTCGCCGTCGGGGCTCCGCGTCCGCCGCTCCGGAGGAGGAAGCCCTACAGGGACCGCCCCGGGTCCTCGCGAAGGCGAGGGAAGCCGCTGGAGAGCGGGCGGAAGGGAAGGTGGAGAAGTGAATGCCATGGGAAGGGGCGCTCAGTAGCTCCCGCGCGGATAAGAGCATCGCGTCGCCGATACTACCGTTCGTCTCCCTCGAAATAGAGTTTCCCCGGGCCAACGCTATCTTCTCACACGGGCCATAGAAAAGAAGGCATCACTGTAGTAGAACGAAGGGGAGGGAAGGGGGCATGTGATGAACGGTCGTGATCTTATCCCTCTCACTCTCTCTCAATACTAAGTTTGATTGATTTCGCGTCTAGTTTGACTTCAATTTGGTCAATCATCCCTTTACTCGATGCCATCTCTTAAGTCCTGCCTATAATTGGCTCAGATTTCGAGTCAACTCGGTGATCGACTCGGTCACTGAATCGGTCATGAGTCGCACATGCTTTGGATCTGCTTCACTTATAGATCCGTTTGAAGTCGGTGTCGGATCGCACATGTTTCGGATCTGCTTCACTTGAAGATCCGTTTCCAGTTGAACTAAACGATTGCCTTACCGGACGCGGCTTATGTATCTCCTCAGTCTCCCCATCGTCTCTCTCTCTCTCTCTCTTCTTCCGATCTCTCTCCCACTCGACGTGTTTGGCGTCGCCGTCCGCGGTCAATCCTCCTCTGTGCCCTCCTCTCTCTCTATATCTCTTCGGGCAAAGATGAAGCGGCCGGTGAAGTTCATCGCCGACCCTAGGGCACGGCGCACCGCGTTCAAGAAGAGGAGGGCCTGCTTCGTCAAGAAGGCCTCCGAGCTGTCCACCCTCTGCCCCACCAACGTCGCCGCCATCTCCTTCGCTCCACGCGATGGACCGGAAAGAGGTGGTCCGCATTATCCGCCGCCTCTCTAAGTACGGCCACGGCGCCGCTCCCGGCATCAAGAAAACGCCGAAGATCGAGCCCCCGGAGGAGGTTGCCGTCGACCAGGCGTGGGACGACGACGGAGCGCTTTGGACGGTCGTGAGGTTCCTGCTGGAGCCAGAGATCCTGGCCCTGAGAAATAGCGGAACTAAGCTACCGGAGGAACCGGAGTAATCGAGCCCCCATCACATCCTAGGGCTTCAAGACCCTCCTCCTCCTCCTCCTGCCGCGGCATTCGCCGACGATGCCTCCGATCCCACTGCCATGAGGATTCACGAGCTCCGGAGTATGCCCGATACCTTCCACAGGGACGATGAGGCCTCCTTCGCTGAGTTGCTGCAGCTGATGCAACAAGAGTAGACCAGCAATATCTGTAATAACTTCTTCAGCTACAAGGAAAAATGGGTTTTTTTTCTTTTTCTTGTGAAAAGGGTGGATACACAGTCAAAATCTGTCCTCTGATTTCATGAGCAAGAAAATCAGCTGCTTTTCAAACAAAAAAAATCGTGCAAACTTTTCCTGACATCTATTCAGCAATCACAGAGCTAAATAGATGGCTTGCATACACCATTGTTTCATACTTATTTACCTCTCTGTATATCTTTACATATAAATTAGCTCAAGATATGATAAGATTTTCTTATGCATTATGTCTTTCAGAAAAGAGTTCTTGACAGCAGTACCCAAGTTTTGGCTTTTAGACGATGGTCACTGACACTGGCTAGTTGAGAGCTGCTTTCATATGTTATTACTTGTCAATCAGTGCCATCTTGTGTTTCAATGGATCATAGAGGAATTCTCATTTGTTCATCTCCGTATAAGTCCATTTATAAGAGCTTGATTATCCTACTTTACTTTGATCATATGTTCTAATTGTTCATTTTTTGGGTTTTGAGTATGCCATCTTCAATTCTATCACACTCACTGTTGCCATGAGCTCAGGTATGTATTTTCATATTCATCTACCAAAGTTATATATTTTTAAATGTTTATGTTGGCCTTTATTCTGAACTGTAACTTACATCGTCTTACATTATCTTGGCTTTTGCAGTAGTTTGACTAGTATCATTTTCAATTCTGGGCTTTTATTCATGACTGTCAAAATTCTGGCACCAAGACTCTTCTATATTGGACACCAAGACTCATAATTAACCTTACTAACTTCAACTGAATGAGCTGTGCCAAATGTATTTCTTGATATAAAATTGTGCATGCTAATGGTTAAGGGAATCAGAATTCTATTTTGTTCCTCTGGCTGAACAGGCCAATTAATCACACATTATCTTTTGGTGCTGATCATTGAGTTGTAGTTTCATGAAAAGGTTTAATGGAGGTGAAGTCCTATAATATTATGAGAAAAATGAGACCACGAAAAGTGAAAAACTGATTTGAATTAGCTGTAGCAATATGAATCAAGTATTACTAAATGTTCTCTTTCTTAAGGATCAATTTTCCATTGGTTTGGACTGGCCATGCCTTATGCATCTCATTATCAAGAGTCCCAAGTTCTATTAAACCAAGTTAGGATTTAGGTTGAGTTAACTGAGGCCAACCTTATACTATCGGATATTATCTTTATGATATGAAGAGATTTATAAGCATATATTGAGTAAAAATGAAGCCTATGTGTTGCACTAGAGATGCACTAAACTATTTCTTAAAATCTAGTTTAGCATATCAAATTTCTACAGGTGGCAAGGAGCTTTTTGTCCAATTTTGCTCTGAACATCTGTTTTAATTGTTCATTTTGCCACATTTAATGCAGGTATGTCTTTGCATATTCATCTACCAAAGATTGCTATTTTGAGTGTTTATGCTGGCCTTTACTCTAAACTACAATTGGCATTGTCTTGGCATTTACTGTAATTTGATTAGAATCGTTTTCAATTTTGAGCTTTTCTCATGATTGTCAAATTTTGGGACCTAAAATTTACATTGGTAATAAACTGGAAAGCATCTGTTGGAACAACAAGCTTCAGTCAGAAGCATATACATGTGCAGTTTATGAAGTTGCCCATATCGGAAGTTTGTGATGTATTGATAAATCATCATAGCAATAACCATAGACCTTATTTCTTTTTTCTTTTTTATTCTTTTTTTGGACACCATGGCGGCATGGCCCACAATTAATCAACTTTAACTCAAGGAACTCTGCCAAATTTGGTTCCTGACATAAAATTGCCCATGCTAATGTATGAGAACCAAAATCCTATTTTGATCCTATGCTGAATTGAGGAACTAGTCACATGTCATCTTTAGGTGACAAAGATCGACTTACATAATTAAATGAAAAGGTTTTAAGCAGGCAAGGTTCTTGAATATATATATATGAGAAAAAGTAGACCACAGGAAAGTGGAAATCTGGTTTGAATTAGCTGTATCAATATGAATTGAGCAATTCCAAAAGGAGAATTAGATGTAGCTTTTCTCCCTTATTTGTGTATGCTTTTTCTTAGTTGGCAAAGTTCAATCTTAGCCAGAGGATCATCTTACCTCTCAACTAGAAAGTTCAATCTTAATCTTATACATTAGAACTTTTGAAACTTTTGCAGAGGCATGTGGTGGACTCTTGTATCTCAGATTTCCAATCTGGGTTGAGAGGTAAAAGCTGGATATCAATCTAAACAGGGACTTGTCTGCGGAATTTCAACCTTTCCGGTTAAGATCACATGATGCTGATTGAAAGAAGGGTAAACCTAGTCTATGTTTCTTTGTGAGACACATTAAGTGGCATTCAGCCTGTACCTTCTTCTGCCGTCTGGTGAACACATTCTTCAACAGAATGAAATGTAGAATGAAAATATTATGGGTCCTTTTTCGTCAGACAAAAAAATGTCACTGGATGCAGTTGTGCTGTTCATTTTTGTGCAAGGACTGAGAACTACATCATCATAAACAAATTACCCACAAGTTTCTGTTTATTAAGATGTTTTCTCCTGGAGCTGATCAAATATGTCAACCCCAGAATTTGTTTCATGGCCTGAAGAATGGCTTGATTACAGAAATTTATATTCTTCAATGGTACTTGGCAGAAAAATATTGTCATTGGTATTATGTTATATTCTGGTGCTGTTGTGAGTAAATTAGACATGACTGGTGGTTTTGGTTTAAATTGGCAAGCTTCATCATAGTTCACAGAGTAGGTTTTTATCACTTATCTTTTGAACACTCCACTTTGAATCTGAGCACCATCATTCCAGTAAATCTGATGGTTGACATCCAACATTTACTGGTCATGGCAAACCTCTGATTCCACAAAGCTTTTGGTATGCTTTTATCCTATATTGATCATTTAATATCTCTTCGATGGAAGTTTTTCCTGTATCTTTTTCCTGACATTGTGGTAAACAGAGTGAGCAGCACATATTTTTATCTTATTCTTCCAAAAACCTCAATAACAAGGCCAAGAACTAACTATCACACATCTCCTAAATGTAAATGATGCTTCTTGATCTCCACTTCATACTTTGGACAACACAGGGTTGACCGATGGATGGATGGCTGCATGATGATATGCCCAAACATAGTATAATAGTTGAACCCATCAATGTTTCATCATGAGAAGATCTTTACCGAGTGAAGGGTCTCTTGTGGCCTCGAGATGTGGCCTCGAGACGTACGAAATTGGCTTCGATCCTTTCCTTCAAATAAGCACTCGGTCTTCCATCAGCCTGAACATGTCAATCACTCGGTTATAATGACTGGAGAGAGAGGGAGAGAGAGAGAGAGAGAGAGAGAGAGAGAGAGACCTGAATCACTAGAGAGAGGAAGACTTTGCCGAAGCTAGAAGTGATATTGGCTGTGATGATCCTGAGATCAAGAGACTCGATAAGCTCAAGCACCATAACAATGGCATTCCACTTCTTGTTGCAAGTGATGCTAACCAACGAGATGCCATTGCCCATCTCTGCCACGCTAACCTGCACACAACCAGAGACAAAATTAGCCGACAGTACTTCACAGCGCTCTTCTAAGTTCTAATGCAAGTTGACGTACTTCCATCGCTTCGATTGGTGACATCGATGCTGCTCTCCTCCTTTGCATCTGTGCATGGAGAAGGTCTTCGTCCTTTATGCCATGAGGTGGTGCAGTTATCTGTTTCGGCGACTCCAGCTCCGATATCTCTTCCACCAGCGACCTCTCTTGCTCTTGAAGCTCTTGGATGTAGTTGATCGCGTCGAGGATGACCGACGTCTTGTTCATCTGCACTCCAAACCCAACAAAATCAGTGGTTTTGACCGGATGAAACGATTGCACGCATGCATGTGTGCCTGCCTCTCACCTTTGTGATGTTGGGGACTACGCTTCGGAGATCGTAGAGCGTTTTGTTGAACTTCTTCCTCCGTTCCCGCTCCGCCATGATGTTCTTCGGTAGCGTCGACGACGTCGACTGAGCAGCCATGTCTGGCGAGCTTGACAGGGTTTTCTCATCGTCCCAACTGCTTCATTCCATGTCGAGACATCAAAAGAGACGGGGAGAGATGAGAGAGAGAGAGAGAGAGAGAGAGAGAGAGAGAGAGAGAGAGAGAGAGAGAGAGACCAAGAAAGCAATATTTGCCTACGAAAACTTCACAACCAATGCAAAATAACAACGCAATAAAAAATGCATGTTCTTCTTCCGAGAGCAAACAGATGTCTGCCATGGATATATACCTGCAGAACTCCACAGCGTCAAAGAAACCTTCGGTCTCCCAGTAGTTGGCGTACTCGATCTGATAGGGTTCCATGAGATCAAACGCAGGCATGCATGCTCAATGGCACCCTGCGCCCGCATAAATACTAGCGAGCACTCCCGTCAGGTAAAACAAAAGGATAAGAGGAAGAAGGCAAAGTCATTGGGAACTGTCAGGTGGAGATGCCAGCATGCTCAACGTTGTGGCCGGTGTTCTTCCCAGTCAGTCGCCCATGGGCTAAACCGAGACAAGATTCTTCCTCTGACGTAATGGATTTCGTACATGCACAAGGTCGATCGACGTTGCTTTCATCCGTCGTTGTGTCTGCCCCTCGGTGCAGTGTCCAAACGTCTCAAGCAGCTGCACCTTCACGCATTTTCTCAAAACACATCATCGTCGTCGCCGTCATCATCTGATATCTCATCTAAGCTTGCAACAATTCAAGTTGCTTGCACTAAATTATATATATATATCTATATAATGGTTCTAACACATCATGTTGAGCTGTATGTTTCGAATCATCATCTTACAAGGATGATAACTCACAAATAATCTGTATAAATATTCTCTATTTCGACCTATCAGTGTCTCTATCCAAGAAAGTGTGTAGTCCTAATTTTAAATCATATGAATTCTTCAATAATTAATGATCGAAAGGGTCTTTGTCAATCGACATAACTTTTACAGGATCATCTATTAAATCACATCTAAATCTTTTACACGTTCTTCATGAAATTTTATACATTTGTCTGCGTGACACCCAACTTGATATAGGCACGGAAGTAGATTGATAGGTCCAAATCCCTCGTATATAAGACAACCATAATCTGATTTATCATACATATATCAATATTTAAAAGTGTAAAAAAAGAAAAAATAAAAGAATAAAGTGCTATTTAAGGTGTATATGTGGGGACAATCGACAATGTGTTTCTCATTCCTTGATTGCGACATGGAAAATGCATGCCATACGATTTGGTCTACATGACCAGCTTGATTCATTTATCACATGGAACAACAGTTTGAAAGCTATGGTGTGAAATGTCAAGTTCGGGACACAACGGTATGAGATTTACATATGTTTGAAGAACAGTTCTACATACCGATCGGTATGTTGAACGAAGGTTCTAAAATGTTCGAAATGTTGAGTTGGAGGATTTCAATTCGATTCTAATTATGTCTCTCTCCTTTTCGCCTCTATCCATACTTTTTCTTCTTCTTTGTCCCATGTTTGTATGATAATACGCAATGATGTAACGTAAGCCTGTAAGTAAATGTGAATTAGATTTGCATTGGTCAAGTGGATGACTTGTTTGGATTTATTTTATGAACTCTATTACTATTTCTCGAGATAATCCATACTGATATGACTAAAGCGAATGATTCATGAAAGCTTCTCTCTTTTGCCTTCTGTTTCTTCGACCACATCAACAATCCCCCTTGAGATCAACAATAGATTGAAATGAGATCGTCTGAAAGAGAGACTTTTCCGGGAAAAGAATAATATTTACACACCCATATTATCATGGGTAAGTTCCTAAAACACTCTTTTAAGTTTTTTTTTTTCTCGAAACACATTTTTTTTTCGCTTTATTCTCATAGAGTAGCTCTTATTTTTTAAAAGATAAAATGCTTTTGACCTCTGGTCGATCGTCACTTTCGTCCCTCGTCCGTCATTACTCTTGCATGTTGTCCGCTCGCTTCACCCTCGCTCTCATCCATCACCCTTGAGTATGCTCTCACTCTTATCCACTACTATTACCATGGTTGGCGCTAAAGCCTTGATTTGCCACTCTTGTAAGGTCCTTGCTCTTACCCTTAGCCTCAACCATGTTACATACCGCTAAATTGCCCTCTACCTCTTAGTCGAAAGGTGGCCTCCGCCTCCTACTCACAAGGTAGCTTTTGCCGTCTAATAACTTCGTAGGTCATCTTAGGAGTAAGAGGTGAAGACGAGTAGGAGATGAAGAATTGCATGAATAATCTCTTTTTTGGAAAATAAAGAGTATGAGTAAGAATTAAACAAAAAGAAGGCGCTATGCATAAAAAATGAAAACATTGAATTTTTTTTGTTGAGAAATTACCCTGATATAAATAAGTTCCTTTGTCATATTGGTATAGATCTACTCTGATGATTTCAAACGTGATCAATCAAATATTATAATCACTAAAAATTGATTAAAAAATGAACAACAAAAATGATAATTTTTTAGGGGTATTTAATATTTTTAATTAAAATTCTATTTGAAAAAAAAAATCAAAATAAGAGATACCGATTATAAAATACTTAAAATATAAATATTTTCTAGAAAATCTCCCTACAATTTTGTTTTAATGTACTACGGAGTATTATGGGATACAAGAATAAAGGAGTCACGGATGAGGCCGGCCTTTCTTATTGGCAGTTGCTGGTGGGGGCCCGAGCGCAGAGAGGAGGAGAGCAACGCTCATTCTTCACAGTTCGGATCAGATATAAGCAGCTTCACAAAGCCGTCGTTATTCCCGATCGGGACGACTCGTCGCCGTAGGAGGAGGAAGAGGAGGAGGAGGAGGAGGACTGGGGAGGCCCATTCGGTGGGTGCTGATTAGGGTTGTGGCGGAGGGCACCAATGGCGCGGCGGGGCTCTTCGTCGGGCCGGTGGCGGCACCTCCATCCCGGATACTACATGAAGAGGCCGGTGCGGTTCGCTGCCGTCTTGACCGCCTTCGTCTTGACCACCTTCGTCGTATGGGACCGCCGTTCCCTGCTCCGGGACCACGAGGTCGGCGACGATCCGTTCATATCCACTTGGGTTTCCTCTTTGATTCTCGTTCCAAGTGTCGGATCTTTTACTGGAGCCCGACTGCTGCTGCTCCAGTCCGTATTCGATTCTTGGGCCGGTAGATCTGTTTGGCATCAGTAAAAACATCATCTTTTGAATGGTCTAGGGAGTCTTTCGTTATTCTTCTATTGTTTGTTTTTGATAGTTCTATGAGTCTTGCGTGTTTTGGGGAAGGGGGAAGGGTTATTTTCGGCCAATAGTTTCAACGTAATTGATATTTTTCAGGAATAGAATTGGAACCTATCGGTAATCTTCTTGCCAATAGTTTGAACAAAAAAATCGTTCTCTTTTCTACTAAAATTTTCAATGTCGAGTGTTGCTGTTTCGAGAGGATACATTCATTTCATTTATGTAGAACGAAGTCGTAGGAAGTTTAATACGACGTCAATGTGCAGGCAGAGGTTTCCAGACTCTACGATGAGTTAAACGAATTGCAACATCAGGTACTTGAAGAATCCATTCCTCTGTCATGTTTCTAATCTGACAATTTTGTGCATTTTTCACGTCAATGTTGTGAAAATGACTTGCCTTCGTTACGTATCTTTTTAAATTTCTGTTTTTTTCTTATAGTTGAGGGAAGTCGGGGGACATTTGGGTGATGGGACTGAAATTCTCTCTGGTACAAAGGAGGAAATGGCCAAGAATAATAATGTGTGGAAGGCTGAAATTGATCTGGTTAACAGCCAACGGAGGGAAAAAGTTAAAGAGGCTATGCTACATGCTTGGAACTCTTATGTAAAATATGCGTGGGGACAAGATGAGCTTCAGGTTTGTTCTGAAATGTAACATAAGATTTATGCTAGAATCATGATGTTCCCTGTTGTTTTTGTTTTTAATTCGTGCAACAAGAATTTACAGCATTTTACTTCTATATCCAGCCACAGTCAATGAATGGTGTCAATAGTTTTGGTGGCCTTGGAGCAACCCTTGTGGATTCTCTTGATACACTATACATTATGGGCTTGGAAGATGAGTTTCAGAAAGCAAGAGAGTGAGTTTCTAATAAACAACAAAATTCTGCATATTGTTGAACATTGTATTTATTATTCTTATTTGCCGATATGATTTTTTTTAAATATTGAATATGTGGACAGAATTCTATTCTCACAAAACTTATTTTGAAATAGTTGGACATTTTTATGTACTTTTATATTTTTTTCAGTGTATTAGGCTTGGGTTGAATAACAGCTGCTATGATGGTTGAATTGGTACATAATGTTTTCATACATTATAGGCTATTTCTACTCATATGTCTCTTCTAAGTGAACTAATTGAAAATTTAACAAAGAATCCAGAGGATTCTATTAGGACTCTAGCTAGGAGAGTCCTAATCGAGTTTCATTGAAAGAGGTATTTATGTAAAACCTACCTAGCCGACCCCTATTAAAGAGGTGAAGAGGCCGGCTAAGGTTAGGATTAGTTTGGAGATTGCTTCTTAGAGAAGCATTAGGAATTGGTTAGAAATAGGAGTATTGAGTAGGAGTCCTATTAGACATAGGAGTATTGAGTATGAGTTCTATTAGGAGTTGGGGTTTAAAAGCCCTATAAATAGTCATGTATTCATCCTCTTTTCTCAAGAAATAAATGAATCTTTCTAGCAGCCTTTAAGCAGCAACTTGGAGGAAGGAGTCCCTATAGAGTTCCAAGGAGGCCGATCCCCTAAAGCGATCAACCTCAAGCTTAGAATCCGTAAGGGTTCTACACTTGGTATCAGAGTAGCATTCTTGGCGTCTCGTTGCCCTTCCACAGCCATCCATCAGCCCGCCACAACCGCCTAAAGCAATTCCCACAATTGCTTAAAAGATCGTCGTTGAATTCCGTCGTCATCTCCACCATCGCGGATCATCCTTTGATCTCCATGTGAATTGCAATAGGTTCTAATTTCCTACCTTACTGCTGTTGCAATTTAGTTATCCCTATTCAAAAAAAAAAAAATGTTATTATATTGCTGCATAAACTTTTCATCGTAAAGTTTTCATCTCTACGACGAAAGATGCACTGTAGAATTCCAATCACATAGCACAATTTGTTTCATCTTGCTACTGCGTTTTTTCTGTCCAAATCTCTACGAAATTTTTACGACAGCTTTGATATTTCCTAACAGCAGATTTCCCTTTGGTTTCGTCAAAAAATTCTTCACCACTGATTTTTTACGTCCAAACTGCTACACTTTGGACGTAAAAATCTGCTGCAGTACCTTTTTGTGATCCTTAGTTTTTTCGAATATTCCACCACCCCATGTCATTAACCCGTTAA